TTTTTTTTCCATTGCTTTTATCTATTACTTAATAATGTTCATGTCTACAAACTCAGGTGACTAAAAATTAGATGCGTTAAAATATAATGCTCAAGGTTCTATATAATGAGAAAAATCACAGGGCTGGAAAAATCACAGCGCTTTTGACCACAATACCACCAAGGGAATCAACGCAGTTAGAATTTGAATGCAATCTTCTCAAGGACAGAACCAAGACCTGAGATCTATGGAATTACACAAGAGACTTCTGCAAAGTGGCATTTCCCCCTCCCCTCTTGAATGGAGTAATCGGCAATCTGTGAGAATCCACTAAAGACCATGATATTTATTTGGGCTAAGGTAATGAGCTGTCCTCATGGAAATTGGCTAAAGGGTTTGCTAGCTTCTTTAGGGCCAATTCTGACATCTGGCCATGTCAGCAAGACTTCTTGAAAAAACAAAACCAAAAAAAAAAAGGTATTCATGTTAAAGACTTAAGTTATTGAAACTTTTTTATTCATTCCATTCAGGACTGAAACTTAACCCCTCAATTTAACCTTTCAAGGCCCTACTCTCACCATTTTTCAAGACTTCTCTAAGTCTCCCATTGAAAAGTAAGCAATGCCTCTTTCAAACATCTACAGTTGTCCTTCTCTTTAATGGGTACATATGGATCAACTGGGTATGCTGTTTAAGTGCAGATTCTGACTCAGTAGGCCTGAGGTGAGGTCGCTAGAAGCAGCTCCCAGGTGATGCAGAAGCCTAGGCACACAACCACACTGCTACAAATACACTATGGCATCTATCATTTTCCTTTGGGAATTCTAATTATTTACATACACATCTCTCCCCTACCAAATTATCAGTTTCTTAGAAGCATGACACGAATCTTAGTATCTTTTTCTCTTTCATAGCAAATAGCAAACAGGCATTCAAACGAACAGGAGGAAAGTAAAGAATAACATCAATGAAATAAAGTTCCTGCAGCCTGGGTCACAGATAGCGCCTCTCTATGGAATGAAAGGTAGGCTAAAGGTCAATAAGTGCTGTGAAAAGTCCAACTGTTTTTAGTCACTTACTTGGTTAGATGAAAGGGAGTGCAGCAATTGTCAATATCAGGAGCGCTGTGACCAAAGCACACTATTCTTTACACTGGATAACAGGGTGAGGGGGCACAGACCTGCAACTTACTGAAAAGCTAGCAGGTTTTTTTGAGGAAATACCCAGTCAAATGATAAGTCTATTAATTATGGGAGTTAGAGAAATATCCTTTTTTAAAAACAAGATAGACTACACAAAGAATCACTGACTCATCAAATCCAATGTGCTTACAAAAAATTTAGTTAGGTGATTTATCCTAGGTTACAGTGTTAAGCATATGGAATACCTGGAACTTATGCATAGATGCCCTGACCTCTAGTTCAGTATTCTTTGCACTGTGCTACCTTTTGAACTGACACTAAATGAATGGACAAAGTAATAACACTTTCCATTGTTCTCAAATTGTATCTTGTGAATTATTCTGAATTATTATTGTATTCTGAATTACTGGAGGAAGTAAACATTTATTTTTTTAAAAAGGGACAAATAACGTGAACACTTACATTAGATACACACAGAGAAATATAAATGGTTAATATAAAAAAATATTCAACTTTGGTTGTAATCAAATAAATGTAAATTTTAAATCAGATACCGTTTTTGGTCTACTAAATTGGCACATGTTACAAAACATGTAACATCTGATTGATTAGAGAGTGAGGAAGTAAAAATACTCATACACTGGTGGTAGGAGTACACATTGGTGCAGCTTTTTGGTAGAGCAATTTGGTACAATGTATCAGAAATCCCAAATAACAGACATACCTTAGGATCCAAGAAATAGAATTCTAGAAAAGTTATGTGAGGATATATTTGGAGATTTGCAGTAAATATCATTATATGTGTATCTTTTGTACATTTTTTATAATTTTGTATTTATGCCCAGGGGGAAAAATGATCACAATGAGCTTTTTAGGCATAGAGTGATATTCCAAAATGCCTTTGAGATCAGGGAAAACTACTTGCCTGTAGAACTTTAGGATTATATCTTTCAGCTGTTATCTTATGAACAGCACTAAGTCTGGATAGATCTGGCTCTTTAGGGATGAGATACAGTTTGCCTGAAAAAAAATTACTGTAGTAAGAGAAGATATGTCTTTTTTAGGACAGGCCATTTAAGGGAAAAAATGATGACCTCAGCTAGGTAGAAACTGAAATATTCAATGGCTGCACATGGGAGGGAATAAACGAGCCAGAGAGGGGAAGTGAGGCACGAGGAAGAAAATACATTGGGGAAGATAAAGGACATATTTTCAGACAGGTAAGATACTGGGTAAGCAAGTTCCATTACTAACACAGAATTTCCAGTTAGATAAACAACTCAAGTTATGATCTGACAGATGTTTTATAAATATTTGCTAACTGGTGTATATTTGCTAAAACTACTCTGGTAAACACTGTGTTCAAACTGAATCTAGCTTGTCTTGCAGTTCTGGTTTATAAGCCTTTTGTTGAGCTTTATTTTCCAGCCCATTAATCTTTATAGGTATTCTCTAAAATGATTTCTAAGTTTCTACTCCTCTACATTTACTTAGGTAAATATGCAAAATGTTAACTAGAATTTAGAATTATCAGAAAATTACCGGAATTTAGAATTTCCTTCATTTTTATCTTTAACTGGATTTGTAGGTTTTCTATAAAAAGCATGAGTTACTTCAAAATAAATTTCCTTAAAAAAAAAATCTTTATTGATTTTAGAAAGAGGGAGGGAGAGAAAGTGACAGAAACATCAGTGATGAGAGAGTCATTGATTGGCTGCCTCCTGCACGCCCTCCAGTGGGGATCAAGCCCACAACCCGGGCATGTGCCCTGACAGGGAATCGAACCCAAACCTCCTAAATCAACTATTGAGCCACGCAGGCCTGGCTCTTTCTCCTTCTGAAACTTAGCTCTGCAATCAAACATACCATTTCAAAAAAAGTGCATCTGATGCATTTTCTTATTCAGTGTCAATTTTTCTTTCCGCTGTTTTAAGATCCCCCCTCCCCTTTGTTTTTATTTTTTTTGGTAAGCTAAAAATAATTTCTGGCAGACACTCATATTTCAGACCATTTTATGGATAATGAAAATAATATGATCTAGTGTCCTTAAAGAGAGAGTAATCTCTAATAACAATGAGTATTGTTCTAGTACTTCTAGAAGGAAAAGAGAACCACAGTGTATAATGAAATTACCAAAAATCAATTCCATACAGATTATCTTCCTATATACATAAGTCATTCATTGCTGTATAAGTGGCAATATAAACTTTATCAAATAATATTACCATGTTTATATGTAATTTTTAGTTCTCAAAAATACTTTGACATCCCCTTTAGTTTTTTTAATAGTGCTTTCCCTCTAAAAAGGTTCAAGTATTGTATATGGTTTTCAAATATGACTTGTAAATCACAGAGGAAAGTGAGAAAGAAGAAGGGAAGAGGGAGAGAGAGAGGGAGTGAGGGAGAAAGAGAGAAACTACTTTAAATACAAATATTAAAAACAATGTACTATGGTGAAATAAGCACTTTAAGTCAAGAGACCTGATTGCAAGTCCCAGTTCTGCTGGTAACCAGCTATATGATTTCCTCGGAGTCACTTAATCAACCTTTTTTAAATTGTAAAGTGATTCTGACTTAACGTCCATCTTAAATTTGGCTTTTAAAAAAAAATCTACAATTAAAGTTTTATCAAGTATTGTATAACAGTTCAATTAAAAGTATGCCATGTCTTCCCCATGGAGTTAGTCCCCCCCTTTCGTCTCCGTTTGACCTGCAGCCTGGATCACTCAGGCTGCACACTCAAGATGTACTTTGAAGGAAAGAGCACCGAGGAAAGACTCCTTTATAAGTGGGATGGAGCTGAGCACGGTGAGCGTGTTCAGGAATAAGTGCATGTGTATGCAAAAACGCGATCAGTCTCGAATCAGGAGCACGGAAGAAGAGCCCTGCCTAAATTTCGGGGAGAGGGCTGCAGCAGAGGCCGAGCGAGGCTGGGCTGAGGGCGTGCAGTAACGACAGCCTCCACCTTTCCCCCCAGCCGACGCCGGAGCAGCCCCAGTTCCGGGTTCCCAGCCAATCACGTCAGGCCACAACAGAGGGCTCGGCCGGCCCGGGCACCCGGTCGGGCTCCGGAGCCGGGCTCGCACGACCCCGCACCTGCCGGCCTCACACCCGCCCAGGAGGCGGCGACGAGAAGGGACAGATAGGTCTATCAGGGCCAGGCGCCCAGACCGAAACCACCTCCGTGCCCCGGGGGCCGGGGCGCGCCCCGCGGCGACCCTCCCACGTCTCCCGGCCCTGGGGCCAATGCCCCGGTTCACAGGTCCCGAGCTCCCACCGCGTCTGTCAGGCCTCGGGGGCCCGGGGCCTGGAAAGTGGACAGACGGATGCCGAGAGTGAAGGCAGCGGGGGAGGGCGTACTCCTTCCCACCAGAGAAAAAGATAAGCAAGCAGGGGCAGGGGCCGCGGGGCTCCCCGTCGGCGACGGCGGGAGGCCGTCCCCGCGTCGGTCGAAGGGTCTGTCATTCCTTCCCTCACTCACCAGGAGCAGCAGGGAGCATCTCAGGTCGGGTAAGGATAGGAAGACGGCAGGATTCATGGTAACGCTGGGATCCGCGGCAGAGACGGGCGCTGGCCGCTGGGACTGGGTAGGGTTGGGTGAGGTTAGGAAAGGGCTGGGCTCCGGGAGCCGGCGGCAGCGCAGGATTCTCCCGGCAGCGACACCCGTCCTCTCGACCCGGAGCTCCAGCCGCGAACACCCGGGGCAACTTCCAGAGAGGCCTCTCAACCCTCACTTCCGGGTCCTGCCCACCTCGGAGCAGGTCGGGAAATGTAGTTCCGCACCACTTTCACTGACCACGTCATCGGGCATCCAGAACTCCTTTCCCGTCAGGCTCTCAGCCCAGGTCCCCCGGTTCTCTGCGCGCGAGGCCCTGTGGGATAAAAGGGGCGGAGAGCGGGTGTACCCCTGTGGTTTCGGGGGGATAGGAACTACAATTCCCGGAAGGCTGTGCGGCCCAGAGCCGGGGGCCTTGGGGAGGGGGCGGGCTTATTAGTTTCCGAGCGGTGGGGAATCTGCCCCAGCCGGGTGTAGGTTACTGTCCGGGCGGGAGGGGCGGCCCGGTGGGGGTCGTGCCTCCTGGAGCCGCCCCGGGACGTGAGTCCTGGAGGAGGCGCGGGTGAGTAGCAGGGTGCTGGCTGGGGGCGCTCCAGTCGCTCTGCCTCGGCCGCTGCCTGCGCCTCCGGGCCTCCCGGCCGGGCGGCGGCCTGAGCCTCCATCCCCGGCCTCCCCGCCTGCCGCCTCTTCTCGCTGCGCTAGTTAGTGCCTGCGTTAGCGTCGGAGCTGCTTCTCCGAGCCTCCGTCGAATAAGAAAATGACTTATGCTCGATTGTCTCCTTGGGCTCGTGTAAGGTGTAGCTTGGGGCAGGCTGGGAAAGCACGTTGGAACCGAAAAGCCCCAGTGCGAGAGTGATGGCTGCTGAGGCGTGACCGCTCCTCACAGGACAGCCCGAAACCCACGAGCGGAGCAGTGGAGGCCTCGCCCGGCCGCAGCTCC